GTCGCTCGGACGACGTCGTCGACAATCAGGTCAAAAACGCGTCGAAATTCAAATTTTACAAAATTTCGACCCGCGATCGATCGTCCCAAAAGGTTTAATTGAGCATTCGACAAGTAACAATGCAGGCAATGCGAATTGCGGCGATCGGACGTATCGACTCTCTGAATTGCGAAGCTTGTGCGCGGGAGTGCGAATTGTGCAAAAGGCCACCCTAAGGCTCAGGAAGGTCCTATAGGGAATCCCTTTTGGGTTTCCTCATGTTGGTTTCGTCCTTCTAAGTGTTAGAAGTCGATACCACACACGCGAAACTCCAGAAGAGTACCGAAGCGGGTTGAATTTCTAGAATGAGGCGGGGCTCATTTCTAAGGTTCTAAGATAGTCGAAGGGAGGTCCCTAAGGCTAGATCCTAAATCCTAAGAGAAAGATTAGACCTCACTAAAAATGAGGTCAACAAAGTATTTATTTAAAAATCAAATATCTATTTTAAATCACCCCCTAGGATAAAAGGTATTGATCTTGGATTAAACGATGTTTATTGTGTATGTACGGATTAGTAATGATTGGGGCAACCAATCATTAGCTTTTATGTGTGGAATGATAAACAAGCTATATTAGATGTCTTTATTAGTACTTGATTTCGTCTATCCAAAGCTGAGCTACTAGTTTCAATTACCTTTGATTCAATGGGTAGGCTTTAGTCTTCTACCTCCGATCCTAGTTGTATAGCTTAGAACATTGGGATTTTAACCATTCTTTGAGCTCTACACATAAGTTACCTTTGTTCCTAAGGTTATGGATTGTGTGTGTGCTTCCTCATCATTTACTAAGATAGACTTAAGTTTTTGTTTATTACCACAATTGGAGTATAGATCGACTACTTTAGGAGATCGAGTAGCTTCGTATGAATGTAAGTTTTTTTAAATTTTGAGATTACTTTGGCATTCACTCATCGCAACTCTGATTTACTATCATCTATGACTTAAATATTGATCATTGAAGAAGCAATTGGAGGGGACGATTGGATTAGAACTTGCTTGGAATACATTGTTAGTGCCTTGGAATTTTGATTCAGTGTCTTATAAGGAGTTTCTATAAGCCAGAGAAATTTTGATACTTAAACAAGGTGCTTTCTTGGGATTTTTTGGTTTATTAAGGTGGTTGCGGGCCTTTTCTGATGTCGCTAAGTGTGAATGACATAAGATGATATTAGAACGCTGAAAAGGATAAATTAGGGTGATGTGGAGTTGAGAGGTTTTTCAATTGATTTTGTCTTGATTCAATAGAAATTGTTCACGGCCAAGCACATTTTGACCATCTGATTAAGGTTATCCAAGGGTGAGGATGAGCCCAAGATGTCACAACCTAGCCCGATAACTTAAAAATATCAAGATGGAACAGACAGTCAAGTGGTGAAAATAAAATTTTACTCTAAATGTAATAATAAAGAGTAAGCCATAAAATGTTAAAATCAAAACCAATATTAAAATAATATATTTTGCTCCAGTGTTCTTCTGTCTATGATATATAATCCCTCTTTCTTCACTTTTCTAAAATATTAAATAATAACATAATGAGTTGTCTAAAATAATCAAGTAAAATAATTACACTTTTATACTATAACCATTCAATGAAAAGAAAACAATATGTATATTGGTCATTTCTATTATGTTATATAAAATTGTATAAAAATTAAAAAATATTATTGATATTTACTTATGGAAGAAATTAAAAATTTTCATATGTATGAACTTCTACTTTATTTTTTTATTTATTCTGTTTTTGGGTTTAATCTTTTAGTATTTAGTGTATTTTTACTCTTAACTTATGCATCAGCCTCATGAGCCCCATCTAAATATAACCTAATATATTCCTGGCCAAATGCACCCTACGTTGCTATTCAATGATCTTTCATCTACTTTCAGCTTTTTGATCTCAATGTCTATATTTTACGGACAACAAAGTGGTTTTGATCTCCAAGTTTTAGTTGCATCATTCATTATCTTTGATGGATTTTAAAGGTGTTGGAGTTTGCATATTCTATGAAATGATTCAACTCGGGTATAATTTCTGCAATAAAAAAAATTAAAATTTTTTTAAACTCATGCATTTTATGTGCCATATATAATATTCAATATTATATTATATTCATCATCAAGTTTTTGTTTGTTGGTCTTCTGCTTTGGAATAAAAAATATCTTATGGAATCTTTTTATCATATTTGTGATGTACAAAAAACTTGAGATTTTTTAACATGCTCAACTTTATCTTAAAACTAGTTAGCTAAGAAGTTTACTTTGTAATAGGTGATTTATATTTCTTAGATAAGTGCTTGCTTTGTTCAGGTTGCAGTGTTTTACTTCCACGATCAATTTACTGTGCTGAAAGGAATGGGACTTCTGGTAATCATTGTTGGAGTTAGCTTATTCAACTGGTACAAGTAAGTGGTCTGACTCCAGACATTTCATGTTTATTCTTTGTACCTGTTGTGATTATATAAATCAATTTAGATTATATAAATCAAGTTAAGTGGTTGTTTAATTGGTTAACATCTTCTATTTATCATCTTGTTATTATTAAATGTCAGCTTTGGTTCACTGACATCTTCAAATAACAAATTCCTAAATAATATTTAAGTCCTATTTTAAAGAACTAGCTTCTATCAATTACATTTATTAATTATATTTATAACACTCAATTCTTTACATCACATGGAAAATACCACTAAAACTAATTTTTAAATGTGTAATGCACATTTTAATGCATAGGCTTTGATGTGATGATAACTCTAAAATGTTATATGCAATAAATATCAGGTGTTAGATATGCAAAAACATAAGAATTATGTGATATACGTGTAAATTTCCCAAAAATAAAACGTTAGTATCTTAATCTTTCTAAATAATATCTGATCATATGAGTAAAAAAATAGCGAATCAATTATTTGTTATGATGTACTGATACTTCTAATTAAGAAGTAATATAGTATCAGACACGGAAACAACATAAAACTGATTGATTTAAATAATATTTAAAATAAAAACGAACATACTCTTCAGACACGTGTCTTAAATTAATAAATTAAAAAATTCTAAAAAAAAATTTTTAAGACTAAAATTAAAAGAAATATATTTTTATGTAAAATATAAGGAATATTTACATACATACCACTCAATTTTTATGTATTTGCATATCTAACACCTAAATTTAAATATTACATATAAGTCACCTTACATATATATCAAAAGGTGTAATTCTATATTAAATATGATATGAAAGATTTGGGTGGTATAAATATAAAAATCAAAATTTAGGTGTTAGATATGTAAATACGTAAGAATTCGATACCAAGGAAGCCAACGATCCTTTTATTTCTTATTTTCTCTTTTGCATCATTCTTAATATTTTATTTTATATATATATATATATACAATAGGCCCCATGATGAGAGTTTCTGTCATGTGTCTAAATATTCGAGAACCCAACGCCAATGGGGATCGAACCAGTGACCGAAAGGGACTTACAGTAAACCCCGCCAACCACGGCTTGCGGCACACACACACACACACACACACACACACACACACACACACACACACACACACACAAACAAATATAGCTATAAAAGCCATGCTATGCTAAACGTGTCTCTCCTATATTGTCCAACACGTGTCTCTCCTATATTTTTAATAATAGATGTTCCTGTGTCCGTGTCGTGTCGTGTCCACATCTCCGTGTTCTTATCCATACAACATAGGTTTATCAGAATGATACTATTATCGAGAAAACACTGCTGCTTATATAATGTTGAATCAAAAATATCCTAAATAAAAGTTGTTCCTACCCAATAGATTTCAAAAGTTAAAAAAAAAAAAAAAATCCATATCTCCTGTTGTTCCTCTTTCAGATAGCTTATTTTCAAGGTAGTATTTCTTCATGTGTTATTTTAAAATCATCAAGTATTTCACATTTTTGTCTTTTACAAATTGTTTAATCATTTCTTTTGGCTGTTTATTAAATTTTCTGATACGATGGGCATCAGATAATAAAAGTTAAATGCAAACGTAAGTATAACGTTGAGTTAATCACATGAATGGGATTAAGCAAAACTTTGAATTTATAGAATAGTACTGAATAATTTCCCTAGGCCCTTTCTACGTTTATGCTGGTTTTTTTTTTTTTATTGGGTCAAAGATTGTTACCTATTCTATTGTTAGCCCTTAAAAACAGAGAAAACAATGGATTTCTATTAGAGATAAAACAGTTTTATGTCCTTGTTGGAGTAATCTTGAATATAAATAATTCATTATTGTTATAGATAGCAAAACTATTTATTTATTGCTCCATGTTTCCGTGGACTCCAAAAATTTGCACCCTGGCCTCTCAACAAGGGAGTTTTTGTGTGGTTCCAATCAAAATTTTTTCGGCATATTACATTGGAGATAATAAATTAGCTACAGATTTTGTCATCATTTTGTGAGGATTTTAAGGTCTAGTTTGAGGTTTCCTAAGGGCACAAATCTCTGTGATTAATAACATTTCTCAATAACAAGAGAAAATTTTTGAAAAAGTTCTGTCATTAAGGTGTTAATTGCTTAACATATAATAGCAATAATTTTTATTTTAGGTTCATCATTGTGAGCTTAAAGTAGATGTTGGTTGGAATGATGTTGAACCCAATCAAGATCTTGTGATTTTATTGTCTTGGGTTGTTTTTGCCCTAGTTTGTTTAGATAGAGGAGGTAATCAATTCAACCTGACTAAATGATCATTGTTGACAATCATGAATTCTTTAATCTAAAAGGACCTTATAGACATGGTGAATGTATCTAAAGGGATAAATTTAAATCTATCTCAGATAGAGTGCATTTTGCCCTATAAAATGTATTTTATGATTCATGAATCTGGCGATAGAGCCATTGGAGAACATATGAATTGCAACTATGATCATAATATAATGATATCATTTTTTGACAAACTACAGGGTCAGAATACTCTGTTCATAACTATAACTTCTTGGTAGATTTATTTTCTAGCCAAATTACATGGACAGAGGATATAGGTCATGTTCTTGCTGGTGTAGATTTGTATCAGTGTAATCATAAAAATGCATTTAATATGATATTGAATTTTTGTGAGCTTATGATAATCTTAGATTTGTCACTTTTGACCAACTATTGTAGCGGGCGAATAGAGATTATTACTCTTATCCTTTAGATGATAGATCTTACTTGGATATTTTATATTTTGTAATATCTTTTTGGAAATTCTATGTTCTTAAAATTTGAGAGTATTTTAAAATTGAATCCCATTTGGGTGAGATTCATTTTCAACACAACTATTATTGGGGCAAAATTGCTTGATATATTTATATTTGAAATTTTGGGACTTGAATATTAAAAATAAACCACATCGGTTAAGATTTTTTTGTCAAAATGTCCATCATCCAAGTTAAACATTTAAGATTTTCAGATTTCTCATTTGCGTAAAATTTATTATTGAAATAGTATTAAACGACATCACTCTTTTGGGTGCTTCCAAAGAGAATGATCAAAATGGCTATGCTGAACTTATGAATTTATACCCTATCGACAAGGCAGTTTGCTCAAAGGTATTTATAATTTGATATTTGAAAAGATAGATTTGTAAAGTCCAAAATACTTGCACATTATTCAAGATGAATTATATTTTATTTTATATTTATTTTCTTAGCCTGCAACATTCATACATTAAGCTTCAATGTTTAGCACGCTTGTTGGAGCATGTGGGTTAGTTAACCGAGGTTGATCTACACAATGCAGTTGCAATTTTTTCAATGTACTTACGTGATGAATTTTCATGATGTTCAATACATTTTGATAATCATCCAAAAATGCATCCGCAGGAAGTGTTTGATTTGTCATTTACATGTATTTTATGGCATTATATATGAGTTAAAAATAGCTTTAGAATTAATTTGTCCTCAAGTTATTCAAAGTTTTGAATGTTTTCTCAATGTTATGTTATAAAGTTGCGTGCAATCTTTTTTTTTTTCTATTTTAGAAGGCTTGCCTTGTGTCTGCTTGCAAGTATATGTTGCATATTGAAAGATGATTGTCAAGTTAAAATCTTTATCACATATTTTTAACTGTCACACTCACACTCACACACACACACACACACACACGCAAGTTAAAATCTTTATCACATATTTTGAACTGTCACACTCACACTCACACTCACACACACACACACACACACACACACACACACACACACACACACACACACACACACACTCTTTTGTGACAATCACATTGAAATCTTATGTAAACTTAGTGATACAGGCACTAACAACGCCCAATTACGGGCACATAAACAGCGCTCGGCTCCTGACGTTGAACAGCGCCCGGTTCGGGCGCTTTGAACCGCGGGGCGAACATAATCGCGAAGTGGTGCGGAAGTGGGGCGATGTCTCGCGAGGGTTCGCAAGAGCGGGAGATCTCGTGCAAAAACTAGAGGGATTGCGCGATTCCGAGTGGGGCTTCACGAGTCTGCTGCTCTTTGGAGTGTCATATGGATTTTTGTGGCCTTCCCACTCTCTTCCTTTGTGAAGCTTCCACTGTCTTAGGGGAGCCTATAAATTGCCATCCCCTGTTTGTAGAGAGTCAGTTCTTGGTGTGTTTAGTTTCAGATCTCCTGTGTGGAGTCTCTTTCCCCTTTGTGGGTTGTATCCGAGTAGGTGTTGGTGCTTCAGCTGTATCCTCTCCAAAGTGGTGATTGTATCATCCCTTTTATTTTTCCCAAACCTTCTCCTCCCCAATATTCAGCCGCCAAACTCTCCCTTCATCACCCCAACATACATCCATTTCCCCTTCCCACAGGTTATTATTGTTGACCCGCCTGTTGACCTCATTTTTGTGAGGTTTTGTCTTCTCCACCTTAGAGCCTAGATTCTAGCTCTAGAAATTCCTACTGACCATCCTAGAAAACTAGAATTGAGACTCACCCTTTTAGAAATTCCAGCCAATTCCTATTTTCCTTTGATGTCTAGCATTTTTGGCACAAGACCATCGTCTTATAGACGAGTGGTTATGGGTTATTTTGCGAAGACTCAAGGGAAAAGTTCCTGATAGGACTTCAAGCCTTAGGGAAATATCGTCAAACACACAAAGTTCACGAAATTGCACGAAATCGGACTTCAATTAAGCCCAAAGGACGGGTGAAAATGCGAACTTCTCCGGATGACCTCCGATGACAAATTGGACTGCGCCAACGCGTCCGGGATACCCATTTTGGTAGGAAAGGACACCCATATTGCCATATTTTCGACACGAGAAAATTG